ACGGGGGAGTCGAGTCGGGGGCGAAGACGGGCCGGGATAGCATCTGGTGACGATAGCTGCGCGGGAAAAGAGACGGACGACAAGTCGACACTTGTATTCCAGACCATTAAAGGAGAAGATTCCGTCCGCGGCGGAACAGAAAGATTCCAGCAAGAAACTCAGCTGAGGAAGAAATAAGAAAGAGAGGGAAACGACGATTTGCCGTGCCACGCCAAATGGCGATACGTGGGGTTCTCGGAGAGAGAGAGGAAATCGGGGGACCGAAATAAGTCCATGTCGGGTCCCTTCCAGCCCATGTGAGGTGGGTACTCTCCAAGAGAGGGAGAAGATGGGGACGTCCGTGGGAGTCGATTCCCCTGGGATGCGTCCGCAAGGCGGGTTCACGGAGTTCGTTCGGCGAGCTTCGGAGAGCGGAACAGGGGCGGCGGTGGCGGTTTCGAGCGAAGCAAAACGCCTATTACTTGCTAGAAGACTATGCTCGGATCGCGGACCTGATGGCGAGCGGGGCTGCCGGCGCTCCTTCTTCCAGAAACACACATTTCCACACCACCGGCGGTCCGCGGAATGATACGATGGAGACCTCTCATAGGCAATTTTCCGAACCACTGAAGAGGCGGGGCAGAATCTGCGGACGGAAGCCTCGAGAAAAAGCATCGAGGATAGACCGAAATAGAGAATGTTACACTTTCGCCGGAAACCGACCTGGACGCCTGGTGAGAGAGGAATCAGCGACGTGGAATTAGGTGTAGAGCAGCTGTATCGCGGCCTGGTCGTTCCCGCCCACATACTTGGTACAAATTGTCCACTAGGAAGTTTTGCACGGGTCCCGGCGGAAGTATGGCCAACAGCGGAAGATGCCGAGAGATTGCCGCGGATAAATTCGAGACAGAGTCGAAGAGAATCCTGCCAGATAGCTTTTCCTATTTCGAACATTTCTATCAGATTCCTATAGTTTCCAAGTTCTACTCCACGGTTCCCTCGGACAAATTTCGGCGACAGCGATCGCGGAATTTCGAGGACGACGATGGGCTTACTCTGACCGGATTTATCGGAAGAGGAACAAGTGCGTCAGGGGAACAGTCCCTGACATGCTTTGATTTACTCGGCGGGCGACATTGTGATCCTTCGGGAATGGGTCCCCGACGACCAAATCAATCCAGAGATAGATGGTCGGAGGGACCAAATCAAAAATCGAAGGTATCGACTCAGACTTCGATTCATATGTTTCACTGTCGGCGAGCACAATGGCTCGTCGCAGCGAGGATTTCGATAGAGCCGTCCGGCGAGGAGGCTTGATGCGAAAAATAATATTTTCAGGCAGTGATTTCTTCTACAATGGGTCTTGGCTCTTGGTTGACATCTTTGACGCTGAGGAACACTTTCCGATGAAGCGATCCCTATGACTTTCCAGATTCAGCGACCGCGGCAGCGGCACCAGCCGAATCACATGGCTATGATTCGCTTCGATTTTCATTCTTCCCTGTCCCCTTCTCGCTAGTGTACAGGTTCCCAATCGTTACGAAACATTATGTGACGACGCATTCTCCGATCGAGAGGCGAAAGAAAAATCCAGACGATCGCGTCTGCTTTTGAAATATTCCTCCTTTCAAGCCGAGGGCCACTCCTCTTGAGAGTTTGCTTCGGAAGAAGTTTTCAATCCGAAAAATGTCCGGCTTTTCGCGTTTTCGAATATTCCGCTGATGATGAGCATATCTAGAGAAATCGGAGGAGATTGATCGGAATATCTCCTGGGATACCAGGTATTCTTCATCTGGAGCGAGTTCCATTCGGAATCTCGTCGTTCCTCCATGTCCCATCTTCTGTGTATCAGATCATTTTAACGTGATCGATCTTCTGTTCAAATGCAGATTACGCTTACATATCCATTACGTCGTTCTAGCGTCTTATCTCTGGAGTGTCGTCAAATGGAAGCTGGATTATCTAATATCGGTTACACCGTGAGAATTCGGATGGAAATGAATATTTGCTTTCGATGGGAATTTCCGTGCGAAATACCGAATATTGCCGAAGCTTCGACATAGAACCCTATGCGAAGTCGGAGCTCCAGCGAGAGGACCCGAACCCCGGTAGGGACCGAGGAGAGCGCTTGACGCGGGTCTGACTCGTCAGAATAGTAGATTATTATCAAGCATCGTCGATTTCGTATGACGGGTAGATCGAAACTTTGCATGGTCGTTGGTCGTGAATATTCAAACGGCTTCACTCGACTCCTCTGGACTTGAGAAAAAATCTTGTCCCGCTCGTGTCGACGACTGTTAGCCCGAAATTGTCTTTTGTGTTAGATGGCTGAGCCGTGATCCCAACGACTATTCGGTAGTACGTCCTCGTTTCCGATAGTGATCCACCCGTCCTTGAAAAAATCTGCGGTTAAAACTTCTATTGCTCTTTTTCTCCAAGCTTCTGACGATGGAAGCAAGTCGTTTCAAAACCGCTATCTGTGTGGGGTCACGTTGCATCTTTGCTGCTCGCAGGCCAGTTCATTTTCCCCTTCACTCCTTCTCGCTCGATAGTCGTCAAGGAGCAATAGACCTCACGACGATTCGGAGCGACGTTTTCAAGAAACCCAGTAGCGGCAATCCTTGCTTCGAATCCCGAAAGTTCAAACGTTTCCGATGCGTTTCGATTATTATCGGCCATTTGCCGGATTGCGCGAGCTCTTCTTCCACGGTTCCTTCCCCTCTATCGGACTGGCTATCAGCAGACTTCGCCTCCGGTCATTCTCGCTCAGAACATGGATTTCCCATCGGTCATTCCATCGAATCATCTGTCCGTTGGTCGTTGCTCTGTTTTCCATATATCTGTCGATTGTAAAAATACGGTCGTACGAATCGAACCGTTATCGAGGAGTGGCTACCGGCACGGCCACTGAATTTTCACGCGTCGCTCAGTCAACGGACGAGCAATAATGGTGATGATGCGTATAATGAATATCGGGAGCCTGATAGTGATAGAGCACTGTGTGAGCCCTCGTTCTGCCTCGAGACGGCACAGGGCTGTCATCTCGACTCCGAGAAACGTGTTCGGTACTGTTCCGTTGGGCCCTGTATGCTCCGTGAGAGCTCCATGGCAAGGATCGAGCCAGACGACATTGCTGGTATGCACACGCTGATGATGTTCTCGATACGGTCCGAGCGGGAAGCAAAACTCTTGGATTCCCGGGACGAATTCATCTTGGGTTGGCTTTCGGCGACGGTGCGTACCGATTTGGCATCGCTACATCGCTTGATCAGCTGTTCCTGAATCCTGGAAGGATTTTCTCCGATTTTCGCCTCCGGTTTTTGCGTCCTCGTACTTAAACCGAGCCAATAAGCCTCTCCCTGGACCTTTGGTTTATCCAGAAAAGTGATTCCCTCAATGACTTCATACGATATACTCAGCTGCCCTCGCACATAATTTCGCGATGGAACACGGCACCTGACTCTGTTCCGTGTCTAGCAACAGAGAATGAGCGATTCTCCCTGAGAAATCGAGCAGCTAGATGATTCCTCGCGTTCCATGATGCTATGGGGGCACCGATCGGATGTGCCTCGAGCAGAAGAACTCCGTAGGGTGGCGATGCCGGTTCATTTGGTCGAACCAAAAATTTCTGGTATAATACGGGATGCGGACCGCTTCAATACAACCGGAATGCCGGTCAGGAATCGTGGTCTGTGAGTCAAACAATGGCGTCGGAGGCATTCGCTTCGGACGTGGCTGGAGAAAATATAGTATAACGAAAGAAGATCGATTTCATGCAGAATCAGCTAACAGCGATATTCTACGGCGGAACTGTACGCTTCCACGAGCATTGAAGCGATCCGCTAGGATAGATCAACCACAACGAAATTAACTGGAGAAGTCAGAGATCTCCGGCTATAACCCGATAGTGATCTCCCGTGGTTCGGCGTCAAACGGAACGTCGACGCACTGAGCAGACAGGTGGCATCCTGATTTAATATATGCTCCGCATACCCGTTTATCTCATGACCTGGGCGGAATATTTATTTTCCTTTCCAAGTAGTTCACCACGATCTACGGCCTAGTAACCTCCAGTCTGAAAATCGTGGTCTTTGATTGGCAAGCTAACCACAGTTACAAATTTGCGATTCTCTTGCGGGATCTGTCAGAATCACTGAATCTCAGGGACGCGGGCCTCAGCACTTGCTCTTGAAATGATCCGGCATAAGTAGATAGACGACGATTGCGGGAGTATGCGATCTTCCGAGCCTATTAACAGTGCTCTGAGCTGTTAATAGGCTCGGAAGAGTCTGAATCGGGGCAGAGCTGGTCCGATCGGTGACCTATCACTCACTTTGCGAGGAGAGCATCCGGGCTGACAAGCAAGGTGAGACTCGGATTGAGCTGAACCCGACTCGTACCTCTTCGTGCGTCTATTGGAGCGAGTGTGTGTTTATATCGGCCATTTAGGTGGTAATCCCCAACGTCAGGCAGTATGTCTTTCTTAGCTGCGAGGGAGAAGTAAAGACTAAATAAAATAGAGCTCCTCGGAATTCTCAATTCCCGGCTGTCTGCCCGCCTGCTCGCCTTCTCTCCGACCGACTAGTCTGCCCTCCAGGTTCCGCTACCACGACCACCGCCTTGGTTGCGGGGACGGGGGCGGGCGTCAGGACCACGAGAGTTCGGCCGGAGGGGGAGACTTCGGCAACAAAACAAAAACGAACGCCCCTACAACCGTGAGATGTATCTGTTTTGTCGTTTTCAGCCGGGACGGCGGCTAGCCGAGCGAAGGGAGCGACTCCGCCGGGTGCTCTAAAGTCCGTCGATTTGCTCGACTTGCGCCGTCGGCTTCTGTCTCCTATTTCGCGAACACGGCGCCGCGTCGGCGTCTATCCAACAGCGGAGGCGTGGCGTTTTTCGTTTAACGAGAAACGTTTGAACTCGAAATAGGTGTTGGTTCAGCCTTGTCTCCCCAGAACGGAATCATCAAGAAAAAGTTCGCCACAGCCTGGTCTCTATTTAATTTCAATTTTCCCTTTCAGAATGTCTCCCGTGGTCAGGATCTGCTCGACGCGGTCTACAAGCATCTTAACCTCCTGGAAACGGCTTACTTCGGTTTGCGATTCGTCGATTCTTCCGGCCAAACGGTAAGCATGGTCGGAATATCTCGGCCTCAGTTAATTGCATGATCCCGCTGGCTCACTCCCTCGCTCGTTCGATTCAGTTTCCTTTTTCTGTAAAATACACAGAGAAACTGAGCGATAGATCGCAATCCACACGAACGCCCCTACGGTATTCATTAGTTTCGCTCGGTCCTGCTCGCGGAGGCGTCGGCGTCACTCCGGAGGGAACAACAATACGGCACGGAGCAGCTGTATGATTAATGAACAACATACCGAAGGAATATGAGTGTGATAGTTCATCGACTGCTTATGAGCGTGTGCTATGGCCGGATCGGCACCTTCTAGATGCTCCCGAATAAATATCATACGTGCTCACATTCACCGCCTGAGTGGATGGACGGATGTACATATCAGGAGGCTCGATATAAGGGAAAGCTTTTGTGGGAATCTCAGTCAGCTTTTCTACTTGCTAGCTCTGAGTACCGGAGCTCCTCTCCCTCTCCTCCGTACTCTCTCTCTCCCGTGAGGTGTGGTGCCCGAACTGGCGTGAGATCGGGGCACAGACCGCCGAACAGATGGACGGACCTACAGATGGACTGGTGACACTCCAGCGGCCAACCCTCTGGGAAGCATCACCGGTCGCAGGGGGATGTCCACTTTATGATGCTGTAATATACGCCGGGCATTTACCCAACAAACCGTCCGACCGACCGGACGAGCAAGTAAGCAACCACCCTGCCAGTCTGCTTGCCCAGGAGGGTTGGTTGAGTGCATTGCATCTGTGACACTAATTGGGTATCCTCTTCCTCTCACATGCCTCAGTCTCCGTCGGGCTCTAGTCGGCCTCACGCTCACTCGTGTCCCCTGCGTATTCATCCGACGGCAGATTTGTGTGTTTTTCACCCTGAGTCTCTTCGGTACAGCAACTCCAAGGAGGAGCTGTTCGGGGCACGAACGTTCTCCAACTTACCACTGCAATCAATACCTGCGGAGGGAACGACTGTGACAAATTCGCCGATGACGAGCCATGTCCTTGTCCGCTCGGTGATGCTCCCTGACTGCTCGGTCCCGGGCTATTGGTGCACCTACACCCATACTCTGGCTCGACCGTTTTCCCCCTGACTTTGTTCTGGAAGCCACCTGGAAAATAATGGCGGAATTAACGACCCTTATCGTACCGGAGACAAGATTCTTCGGATAGCGAGCCGGACGCGATGAAGAGAAACCGTTGATTAAAAAGCCAAGAATGCGATCGGACGAAAAATTTATTACTTTGCCTCGTAAGTCGCGGCAGCGTACAAATGAATGAGCATAGGAGAGCCGGCAGGAGGACGGAACGACGGCGAACGGCGGCGGCGGCAAAGCGCGGATGCAAAAAGACGGAGCGTAGCAAAACTGGGAGAAAGTAATAGGACGATAGTTGTAATTACTGTGGAAATTGATTCGTTGGTCTCGCATAATATTTGCTTGACCTTCTGCTACGTCGAAAGCGGAAGCTCCTTCGCTCGGACACGGTGGCTGCCCCGCGCGAATCAAGGGTCACCCTATGCGAACAGAAAGCTAGCGGGGGAAATTTCCGTGTGCGAAAACGAATCGAACGGTTCCCTTCCCATCGGGACATCGGACGCGGGAAAATCCCAGTGTTCTCGCGGAAACCGCGGTGCCATTTGGTGTACCGTATAGGGTGAGGAAACGACTGTCCTCCACATCCAGTCTACGAGTTCTCAGCCCGGGGCTCGTTCAATTTATTTATTTTTTAGCCCTGTTGACCTGAATTCTGTGATACGACACATAAGGTGATGCTTTTCTTTACTTCGCGCACACTTCCAGAGTTCGGCGTCTCGGTACGGTGACCGCTCCATGAATTCTGGTGTACGGTTGCCCTTCTCGAAATGGCGCCAGATGATGATTTATCCCCGTGTTCTTGATCTCGACGGAAACGCGTGCGAAGACAAAGAGCACGATGAAGTTGCTCTCACGAGCACAATGGTCGATCCGGTTGGCCATAAACAAATAAAACATCTCGATCAAACAAAACGATACCGAGCTGGAACGACGATGAACAGCTCCTTTACGGTCGAAGCCAACACCGGATAATACAGCACATTTCAGGAACATAATGGCTTTCCCGCGAGAGCCGAATGCAACGCGGTTTTGGCAGCGGGGTGCCAGCCGGGTATTCGTACATTACCTTCCTCAAAGCCTTCGTCTTGCTCGAATGTTGTGCTTATGTGTTCCTCGTGGCAGGCAGTCCTCCGTTAAGTGGTTTTCATTCCTCCATCCGGGCTCTGATGGTGGTGACCACTGTGTCGGGGATTCAAGTTTCCTCGAGACGACTCGGTAAGGGGTCCTGCGAAGAGGTCCGAGAAAATACCTTTGCTGAGTTCAGAGTCCGGAAGAAGCAGCAAAAAATATGTTCCCTGTGCCGCTCTGCGTGTTTTCCTTATGCATCTGTGCCCCATCGGGTGTGTTCCTCACGTTTTCTCAATGGCAAGCTTCAACCGATAAGCCTTTGACCATATAATTGGATTTTCGAGCTGAAACAGACAAGATTCCAAGATCAGACTTTTTCACTCCGAGATGTGTAGGGAGCTGCCTGTTCTGAGATTCCCTGCGTCCGAAGTGATCGTTTGGAGAGTCGGATCTGTCATGATTCGCTCTTTCCTCCTGTGACGAGTTTCCGTAAGTAGATCCTACATCGATTTCATCCCCAAACCCACAAGAGAGAAGAATATCGACAACGAAGAAAACAATCAACAATTACAGCCGAACTCGATGGTTCGCCTGAACGAGCGGAGATTAGGGAGTGGAGAAATGGGGAACATAAACGCCCTCCTCGATTTCCGTAGAGAGCAGCTGGGTTTTGGATCCGACCCAACAACCTTCAGGATCGACACAACGTCAATGTGACAAGCGGATATTTTCGTGATACGAAGAGCGCTGGGTCTAGTCGGCTACCTATCTGTTTCGATTCGCTCGCCTCCGTAAGTTTCGCTCGCGGACGAACAGTGTTCGCTTGCAGACGGAAGACCCTCCAAAAAGTGAACAATCTTCCGTGTCAACCACTCTGCCGTGGAAGCGACTCGTGTCAGAACTCCATTGTTAATGTGGATAATTGTCACGATGTCAGTGATTGTTATGATGATGCCGCTACAAAAACGTTGAAATGTTATGATTGACGACGTGTTTCCGCGGATACCTCTTAACGCTGTCGCTACCCTTGTCGTGGTCGCGGTTGTCGTCGAGGCACTCGTATGAGGAACTCGGCGTTGGAACGCGCGTCAATTATATCGGAGATTAGCCGAATCTTAATTATTGGTAGCAGCGAGCGTCGATCGCTCCGCGACGTTGTCGTCGGAATGAACCCAGCGTTCTCCCGAGCGAACGAGTTGATTGATCGTGAGACGCTGAGAAAATCTATATCACTACGGTGAAGCGCGGCGGTCAAGTCGAAGCCGGCCGCGGTCTTTTTTGGCGTGATTCCTGCTTCAATCAATTTGGAAAATGCGGTGGATCGCCTCTGGGATTCTCCCATCGCGCAATGACTGTGGGCTGGTGGAAACTGTGAGTCGAGGAAGTGGAAACCGCACGCCGAGGAAAGGAAGCAATCGGATGAGCTGGAGGCGAGCTCACAAATACCTTCGTGTTCGGTTTCTGATCTGCGTTGCCGGCAACAAACTTAGCACACCCCGTCAAAGCAACAGGGTGACCACAGGCCATACCAACGCGGTGTCCAACAGGAGCCGCCGTATTTTTTTTCCCGCTCGCCCAACGCAATAAATCTTTCTCATCTGGTGTGTAAGTGTGTGGGTGTGACGTCCCGTCCAATTTGTAGGCTATACGGATCTCATTAACTCTCATCGAAAACGGCTACGCTCATTCTTCCATCGATTCTTTCTTGTTCCGCTCGCGCCCAGCACCGTCGTCATAAAGCAGAATGTACCAACGCCAATGAAACCTCGATACTTTTTCGGGACCTCAAGGTTACTGAAAGTACCTACCCTCGATGATCCCGCTCAGTATCGATCAGATCGGCGGCCGAGTCATCATCCGATGATTTTCTTTGTTCCCGCTCCGGGACCGATCAAAGGTCCCGGATGAAAGTTGATACAGATTTCGGAAATCGAGCGACAAGCAATCACAGGGGATAAAGTTTGAGGCTGATCGGTTAACGTCCCCAATCGCCTCCGACGGCTCACAAGTGGATCAAGAAACTCAGTTGAGTGAGCGTCCCCGCGAGAACCTTGGACCGAAGTCGTTGACGATAGAAATACGTGGTTCGTTGGCGACGAACCTCACTTGGTGGGTGGATCGTTAGGTGTTTTTTTCGTTCGTTTTTCTCCCGTCCATTTTCGGTGTCGTTCCCGCTGGTTAAAAGGAGGCGTGGCTGCTAGCTAGCGTAATATTTGGCTTTGTGGTTTGAGACGAGAGTTTGACGACGATGTGGGAAACGAAAAAAATGACCGAAGCAATCCCCAGTGTCTGTCCAAGTGTGCGAACGTGTTCCTTGAAGCGTGTATCAAAATTTGCTCTCTTTCATTCCAGCATTGGATGGACGCCACCAAAAAAATCTACAAGCAGATGAAAGGTTAGTCTTCCCTCTTCTCCCGGACAGATGGAAATCTCTCAAAGTTTGCATGACATCTCGAGGGGTGATCGCCGGCATGCTGTTCCCGGCAACCGGCAGTTCCTTCTCGAAAAATTCGGAGCCGAATCAACGAAACACCGGTCGATTGTTTGGTCATCGGCGGGACCATCCCGATCAGCGTCAACATCAACGCAGTGATCAACACGACTGTGTGAAAGGATGTATTTTCGACGACAGTGTTTAGCAGCAGCATCAGCAGAGAGTTCCCCTTGTTCCGTGGGAGGTGATCTGACGCCTGAACCGCCGACGGCCGTGATTGCGTCCGATCATGTCTGGGAAAAGTGCTGCTGGTGCACTTGCACAGCCCCCTTGTCAAAGTTCTAGACATGCAGTTGTTTCGTTTAGGCTCGGGGCGTTTCGGAAAGCTACTCAATGCGATGTCTTTCTTCTTCTGCCCCGTCCACGGTGTGATGATCGACCATTAAAATTCGCCGGGATCATTCGTTTCGGCACGTCTGCGATCATGTGCGACTTTGAGACTTTGCACACCTTTGCCCGTGCCTTGGCTCCTCGCCCGTTTTCAGTGCTGGAGGCCTGGCGGACCGCGGCTTGTTCGGCAGCCGGCCCGACGGCTGGCTGGCTGACTGGCGACGACGTACCGCTGGCCGAGCCTAGGTACGTGACGATTTTCCAAATGTCTTCGTTCTCCTCCCGGCCGTCCATTCCGTGAAACCACCACGACTTGCTAAATATCACCACAAGCGACCACATGGGCTTTTCATCGTTTGTGGGTTGTCCCGCCACAGCCACTGACATGAGACGTTGTCGCGACGATCAGGCGAGACAGGTTTATCGGACGTCCGAACAGCAACCTATCCCCGAAAAACCGCTGTGCCCAACTAACGATTGTTATCCGCTCCCGTAAGAGCAGAGAGCGTTCAGTCCCAGATCGGAGCCGCATAGTCCGGACGAGGACTACGAGTCGCGCGACCGTTCGATCTCTTAGAGCCAAGGTACCTTATCTTCGGGCGATGTTGCTCCCTCGTCAGAGATAAGAAACAGCTGATCCTGCGTCCCTCCTTGCTTACGATTGTATGCTCGATTGATCGCAACAAGCGAGTGGGAGAGGATCGAGAGGGGAAATGGGCCCGAGCACGGAACGGTACGGAGAGCTCCGCAGAGCGTGTACAAAAGTCCTCTACTCGTCTAATTCGGAATAAATTACCTTGCAGGAGTTGAAAACTATACGTTCTATTTCGGTGTCAAGTATTACGCTGCGGACCCTTGCAAACTATTGGAAGAAATCACGCGGTGAGTCCTCTCTTTATATTGCGTCGCATAATAAAAAAACGACCCTGCGGACCCTATTCAAATCAGGAAGTTGTAAAAGGAATCTCAGGAGCGGATTACGTCTCGGCCACATGAAGGAAGGCTTCCCCGATTCAATTAGAGTATCTGTTAGTCTTGAGATTTGTGTCCGCGAGAGAAATGCAATGCTCTGCAGTGCCGAGGTGGGAGGGAATTAACGAGCTCCTCCGAGGTGGCGGTGCTGCTCGCAGCGGTCTTAATTCCTCGTCGACCGCCACCTCATTACGAGTCACGGGACTTACCGACTGACCGATGCTCGGCGGGACAAACAGACAGCCCCATAAACCTTTAATGGTGCTGGCGGTGGCGAAGCCCTCCGGGACAATGATGGGGGAAACATGTGTTCCGAGGCAAAACTAATACAGACCGAGAGGATGGGGTCACGTGAACTCGAGCCCGTCCCGTGTTTGCGTAGGAGCGTCGATGCTTGGTTGAGGCTGTGCTGCGTCGTCGTCGAGAACCGCGACATCCGACGCCGAGAGGATTGAGCGGAGAAAATTAAAACTCCAGGCCCCCTCAACTCAAACAAAATGTATCAATGACAATGATTCTGTTTCGATTCGGAGTTTAATGACTCAGAGAGACGATGCGTGGGTTAGAGGGGGCGAACAAACGAGCGGGCGAGGCGAACTTGGACCTGACGACGACGACGCTAATCCACGATGTTGCTCGCTCTATCGTCGCGCAGTAGCGCCGAGATCCCGGAGTCGTCGACTAAGGCACGTCCCTCCATCTCACAGATTGGATCGCCCTTCATAAGAATGAGGGCAGCCCAACTGCAGGCCGAAACAGGGTTGGCCCAGAGCGAGGGCCGAAGGGGTGAGGAGGAGCTGTGGGTTGGGAGTAGACCGAGGAAGAAACGGGGACTGTGCTGCTGGAATGCTGATATAAACCCTCGGTGTAGACAAAGCAAAGAATGTGCAATGAGATTCCAACGTTTCGATCCAATAGCTAGGCGCAAGCTCAGTAGGTGTTGTATGTGCGGGGGAGGTCAACGACGACGGAGTCTACGTCGACAGCGTTCGACGAAATGTCCCGACTCGGACATCGGTGAACCTGGGGGTATGCGGCAGATCGAAAAAATGAATGGGCGAACACCGTTACGTTACGAACGTTGCTCGTTTCTAGGCCCGAAGTTCCAGAGGAAAAATATCGCGGCGCGTCGTACGTGCGGTGCACACCCGAATACGACAGCCGGAGGCAGAGTGAGGCGATTCATCGCCCTCGTCGTGCGATCGTTCCGGTGCACCTAACATCGGACGCGATGGCGTCAATCACTAGGCGAGGAATGAATGTCCAATGTTATTTGAACAGATCCTGACCGCGATAGTCACCCGCAGATTATTTCTGAATCCTGAACGCTTATCCGACATTCTGAGACGCGACATTTGTAGACTCGTGTGTGCTTGACGACTTCTCTCCTCCGGCCGAAAACTTCAGGATTTTCGTTTTACGCGACCTAGTACTGAATACACCGTCACCCTCGGAATAAGGCTTCCGTGGTGGCGGGGGCTCACCTTTTGGGAAGGTTAATGACCGCGAATCTTCGAGGATCCCTCGTTGTAAATCTGCCGATTCGTTGAGGTCGTCAGAACTCCTGGAATTTCCCAGAGATGAAGTGGCCCAATGGCGGGTCTGGGGAGGAAACGGATGGAGGCACGGAAGGGCTCAAGTTGCTTGAAATCCAAAACTGCAGCGCAGCTTGTGCGTCTCCGTGTCCTGCATCAAAGTTCATCGGAAGCGGATACCTGCGGAAACTGCCGACTCGCACGGGAAGGACTTCCTGGTTGCGTACGTTCCGATCATGAACGATCGCAGCGTTTCCGATTAGCGAACAACGGAGGAAGACATCATCAGCCTCCATTATGTCTCGTCAGAAATTCCCTGGATCGGAGAACTCGAAAATAAAATGAGGAGAGCGAAGCTCGAACTAGAGAAACGCGATATGAAAACATACGAACTCTCGAATCTTCTTCCAGGTATCAGTTCTTTCTCCAAGTAAAGCGCGACATACTGCATGGACGACTTCCCCTAAGCTACGACCTGGCTGCTCAGCTTTTCGCTTACGCCGTTCAATGTGAGTATTGGCACGTCACAGAATTCCAAGACAGCGCACTCTAGGTCCCCTCGGAGAAGGGTTCTCCCCCTTCAGACCACATCTAAGCCGAGCAGCCGACAAGAAGCGGAGCTGTTAAATTATTCATCACGCGTGGAGCGACAATTCATCGGATTTCTGCTTAGGAATTCGTCAAACGCGGTGTCACGATTCGAAATTCGAGCTTCCCTCAAAAAACGTTCCTAGGAACGGGCGATCGAGTTTCTTGCTCAGGCACGCGCAGATTGTCGTGATGATGCTCACCTGCTGAACTGCTGCTGTTCCTCCCTCATCATGGGGAGATGGTGGTAGGACAGGCCCCTGTGGCGAATTGCCCCTTCCGATTTTAATTGCCTTCAGTCCTCGAGCCCGTGGTCAATGTCGAACCCGATCCGGGTCGCGGGAACCACGAGTCCGGTGGAGCGGAGAAACGGGTAAACGAATTCGAAGGTCCTGTCTCTTGCGGAAAAAGCTCCAGAGCAATGATCGACCGTTGTTGGTGAAGGCTCGATCCAGGTCCTCCACAGACAAATAATCCCGAGAGAGAGGCATAAATGCTTTTCGTGAAGCGAATCTGAGAATTAGAGCCGATGGACCTTTTTGCGCATCGAGTCTGACGGTTCCTACTTACTCGGCGAAATTTCCGAATTGATTATTTTTCCAGCTGAACTCGGCGACTACGACCCGAGAAGACATCAGCCAGGATACATATCCGAATTTCGATTCATTCCCGACCAAACGGACGCACTCGAAGAGAAGGCGGCTCAGTTGCACAAGACTCTCATGTAAGTTGAACTCCGATTTATTTGACTTCGAACGTGGGTCGCAACATTCTATTCTTTGCATCACTTGCCACCCTCCCGCCTAGCCAACCGAACGAGCAGTCGACCGACAGAACGACCAAGTTGGCGAAACTACCACCTAGCTTGTAGCCACCTACTCGGAGCAGCGCAAAGGCTCGAATGAATTCACGTCTCGTCCCTCCACTCGGTCGCCTCCACTCATCGGTGGGAGTAGTGGGAAAGTCGGCTGTTGGACCTTTGGAGAATCGGCGCTGGATACTTGGGGAATACAGCTCCCTTGACGCCCAACAGGCGTCACGGGAGCGTCTGGGTGCTTGGAGGAGGACGGTGAAACTAGGGTTTGAGAGAAGGCCGAATATGTTCGGGCTTCTCTCCTTGGCGATCCATTGCACTCCTCAGAGCAAGCTGACGCAACAGCTAGTTTTCCGCCCCGCAATAATCCACCATTGATTGGTGAACTTGTCATTCGAGCCGCCCGAAGAAAGGTGACGCGAGTGGACGAGGGCGGGCGAAGAAGGAAAGAAAACTCGGGAGGGACAGGAAAAACGAAAGGGACGTCGCCCCTTTCTCGGGGAACCGGCTGCGTGTGATTTAATAGAAAACTTTCGCTATTTGCAGAAGCCAAGTGCCTGCCCAGGCAGAACTGAATTTCCTCGACCGAGTCAAATGGCTCGATATGTACGGAGTGGATCTGCATCCCGTGCTGGGCGAAGACCACATCGAATACTACATTGGTCTCACCCCGGCGGGAATCATAGTTCTCAAGAATAAAACCAAAGTCGGAAACTATTTTTGGCCCCGGATCGGCAAAGTTTATTACAAAGGATGCTTCTTCATGCTTCAAGTCAAAGATAAAGGCGTAAGTCTCCTAGGTTTCCTCTCTCGCTTTAGGCATGCAGTCACCCGGAGGAGCAATTGCTCCAAACACGAGCCGCAATGAAGCCATGAAACGTAATTCCCACATCGATCCGACGCCGCAACTTATGCAACAAAGCCCTCGCATTCTGAGGGGAAACAATCCCTCCCGGTTTCGCGGCGTAATTTCGTTCCGCCGAGTTCTCCTCGGTATGCCTCTCTCGGAAAATGCATCCGTCGAGAAGGTTTATTTATTCCTTTCTCCCCCGCCCCCGCTACTCTCTCTGTTGAATCCTCTGAAGACCCGCCGACAGAATAGGCGGGAAAAAGTATTGGCAAATACGTGCGTGCATGCGAGGAATTCCGCCTCGGGATCGCATCACGATGCGGGAGACCTTGCCATTCGACGCAATACCTGTCAACTAAAACTCGCGAGGCCCGGAACTTGTTTCTCAGCTACGTGAGTTTCTGACATCCGACCGAGTTCCTCCTAATGACTACGCTGACTGTTTCCAGAGCGAGGACAACACGTACGGATTCGAACTCCCCAACAAAGCTGCTTGCAAGCATTTGTGGAAGTGCTGTGTGGATCATCACTCGTTTTTCAGGTGAGAGGAACAAGTGCTGCTTTTTGGACAACAGCCGAGTCCTTGAACTCTCGAGAACAATGTCTCCTGGGGGCTCCGGTAGACTCTTGGAAATATCTTGTTAGCGGCGCGATCGGATTCACCCCTTGGTTCATTTATTTATTCATTATTTATTGGGTTGCAAGACTGGGAGAGTCCCGGAACCATTGGGTGGAGATCCTCGCCTCGTGATACTCTCCCAGAGGAATCTCTTCACTCTTGTGGGAGCCCATCGGGGAATCTTGAGAACAGCTCGCTGTCCCCCAAAGACCTACCACCTACCTACACCTGGACGCCCCTGATGCATGAACGGTGGGGCGGAGGTGGGGCGAGGAGGCGAGCTGAATCGCTAAGCTTCATCCGACACAAGGAATCACTCTCCGATCTCTTATCTGATCTGGAATTTCTTTCAGACTCGCTCAATCGAACCCCGATGCATCGGCTGCCACCAACAAATTATTCGGGTTAGGGTCGAAGCTGCGGAATTCCTTGCGAGGAAGTTCCCGCAGCGGCAAGGTATCCGCCGGCTCCATTGTCGGACCGCAGTCGAACAAACAGGACCAAGGCAGACCCCAGCCCGCGTTCACTCGGGTGCCCAGCCGTCGCTATCAGCGGCAACGGTTAGACAATCCGGATGGAGTCGACGGTGAGTCTCGATGTTAGATCGATGTAGGGAAAGCCTATTTGAATCCGAAAAGAGATATGAGGTCGTAGCTGACTATTGCGCACGAGCTCACTCCGGATCCGCGTACGTTCGGGGATCTGGATCTCCTCGATTTCGACACGAGACGGGAATCTGGGACTCGTTCACTGTTGAGGAGCCACTATTGACAGAAGGACACGGTGTCTGTTCGAACACGAGCCAGGTTCCATCGTTGCGGCGTAGCGAACTCTTCAAAGGAGTCCAAATTAACGAGGTACCGATTCGCGAACGACAAGGGACCGAGAATACAATCATGACTTGCGGGAATCACTAGACCACCGCGCGGCGCTGACGAGAGCGGCGGCAATGAGAACTCTGTCCAAAAAGAGGTACCTACATTTGGAGCCGGGAACGACATTTGCTCCTTCAAACTTAAGCGAACACCAATTCCACTCAATTTGTGCTGGAGCGCGCGCTCAGCAAGAAGCGTTTTTCTCGGAAATTCCCTCGAGCGGCGGGACACACTTCGGAGTCCGTGCTCGGGGCTGATTCGCGCCATCTGCGGTGTGGCAGCTGTCTCGCTCGACATTTGAGTTGTCGCCTCGTCATCGCAGTGCTCCTCGGTGGCGGCGGTGGTGGTGGACGCCGACGACGTCCATTGTCATTCACCTTTCTTCTCCTTTCCCTTAACGGCATTTCCCTTTTTTTCTCTTCTTCGTCTCGTCCCTCCTCCATCCTTGGAATCGTTTCCCCGAGCGAGCCGTACGCTCTCGTCGAGTTGCTGCGACCGTCCGACACTGCGTCGCCCAGTTGTCCGCTCGTTGGCTTGTCCGTCCGTGCGTCGCGTCGCCGCGTTGTATGCGCATATCTCACGCATAGTTTCCGAGTTGCCATTTCGTAGCAGACACAGACGAGGGGAGGCCGAAAGTCTCGAAGGGGTACATTTCGCCTGGCGTTCGAATAAGACCGTCTGCCATTGCGCGTTTCCGTCCTTACGTCTGATCGTATGGATGCGTGCTCGTACGTATGAATATGAACAGTCCGCATCTGTGCCGCAATTTGCTAAGTGCCTGCGCTGCTGTTCGACCAACTGCTACTTGCGGGGACCAGCCACGCAGAGGACAGAACGAGAAGATATCCGTACTCGGGGACATGGTCCACAAAGTAGAAGGAGGAAGAAGCGCGTTCATTCCCGCGTGGGAGAACCTCCCTTGGAATCCTCGGGCGCAGCGATCCCCCGACGTTTCACTTTGTCGTCGTTGTCACCGCCTCGGAGAAAGTGTCGCGTGCCCATAATCGTTCGCATATCAGCCGCCTTCATCGTGATCGCCTACTTGATGACAACGGTGGTTCATTGTGATTCCGAGTAGATTATGAGCCACGCTCTCTAATCTCTAATTACTTTGCGTGCTACAGCCCCATCGAACTTCGAGTTGGAGTCGAGGCGGAACAGCGTAGTCACAACCACTCAATCCACACCACAGTAAGTACATTCGACCAATTCAACGATCCCAAGTTCCCTCGCATTAATGATTCATGACGACCGATGAAACATTCGTTCTCACGGCGGCCGTTTTTCTGTCCGAGTTGGAGAAATCGATCTCGCTCCGCGCAAGAAAACGTTTTGTCCCGATCCTCGGACTCGATACGCATTTTGCCCCCGGTGAGATACTGATGCAAACTTTCTCGGGAGTTACGCCGAAAATGTATTCGCGATTCACTGATTCGGCTGTCGTCGCAAATTCTCTCGAAAAAGATACAGAGACAGGGCGCAGGTGCATCATGCGACTGTCATGCTGACTTTCCGTACGACGACAAAGAGTCTCCCGCGCATTGTGTTCTCCTAACCAAACGAACGGCAGAGCCAGTCAAACAAGCGTCGCAGAGACAGCGGATTCCGAGAGCCTTGTTCCTGTTTGTTCCGCGTTTCTCATATCTTGCTCCATCTCTTCGTCGATATTTCGCATTAAGGGCCGCTTTCTCTCTCCCGTTTATTTATTTCTCGTCTTGTCGCCGATCTCGCCCCGACCCCACGTCTGTCCGGGTGCCGGCTCCTGCGTTCATTCGTCCGCTTGCTCAATGGCTCATGTCTGGACACAGAATATGAAGCGCGTAAAGATAGCGTTGGAGATAAGCAGGGAGCCACCGACATTGTAATCCTCTATGAAATACCCCCGGTGTAGGATTTCTCCTCTGTCGCGTTCGGTGGAGGCTTTTTTTTGTCTGCTGGGAAGAGGCTTTTCGTGAGTAATAAAAGTTTTAATGTCGCTCGCGTTCTCTCCCTCCCTGCCTCCCTCCCTGAAAAACCCTTGGAAAGCCCAGAGAATGTCTCGACGACGGACCGTCAGCGCGCGGAGTCGATGATGTTCCCGGAGAAACCGCAACTACACTCAACGACTTTGCGACGACGATGCTCATTTGCACAATCGACCCTGTCACAGTTTTTTTCTCTCCGCGTATTTTTGTCGCTCTGGTTACAAGTCGCATTTGCCACAGCTGTTATTCGTTTTGGGTTTGATCACTGCTGCATGCGGCGGCGTATTTTTCCGAGCAAAAATGTCGAGCTGAATTCGAAGAAAAAGGGTTGGGAGCTCCCGTCGAAGGAACACCAAAGAATCTCGAATCGTCGTCGGGCCATCGACGCGACAGCTTCCAAGGGAACTGACCGTCCTGGTGACGCAAATATGCTTTTGGAGAGGAATCCGAACTCAATGTTCCACCATCTCCGATTCACGCCTGGTCGCGTGTTTCGCCGTTGAAAATGTCAACAGCAGAAGTTCCCTCCCTCCAAGAGTCACATCGGACGCTTCCGGAGGAAACTTGGCGAGCCCAGTTGTTGGGCAGATTGTGGGTCTGTTCTAAGTTTTTTCTCTTCTCTTCCCCTTCGTCGAACTTACAGCAGCATGTACAGAAGCGTGTCAGTGCCATCAGTTGGGGGCCGTGCCTGGGATGATCCCCGTCCCCGGGGCTTGTTTTCGTCGTCAACGAATCCGTCACCAAGATCCGTGCGTAGTATGGCGATGTCTGCTCGCAGTTGTCGGGACTCAAGTGTAGATAGGTGAGCGTTTCCATCACTTCGGATTCCCGAGTTCTACCATCGGGACGAGGGACCTATCATTTGCGTCTGAGCCATCATCCCGATAGCGGGTTGATGTACGCGACTCCATCGGGAGGAAGTTCCCGAGGACTGTCCGAGGGAACTTGATCCGTTGCGCATTCGAGCATTTTCGAAACTTTTCAGCGTGGATTGCTCCCGACACCGCAAGAGGCATCGCAGTCGACACGAAAGGGAAATATCCGGACGCTCGGACGCAGAAAGCGAAGTGTCAAGGACTTCAAGAAATAGTCGAGCATCGCGTGTGGGCAGTACCTGCCGACACAGGTGAGTTATTCCTTGTCTTTGATCCCCTCTCAAAACGAAATCCCCTCGGACTTGCGTAGCCTCCGTATCCTTCTCCGACGATACGTCGGCGTCGTCGGCCGTCCCGTTTCCTTCGAGAAAATCCTTGCCTCAAACTCATATGTGCATGGTTTTTCGGCCGTTCCCCGCTGTGGACGTTCATGTACGTATGTAGAGGAAGTTCCAAGAATTCTCGGAAGGGCATCGGGAGTAATCCACACAACTGGTGCTTTCGCGTCCAAAGAGAAGGAGGAAAAAAGAGAATGAGCCCGGGGCAGAAGCAATATTCATACTCGTATCTACAGAACTGCAGTCTCTTAGGACAGGCAAGATGGCGTCCACTTGCTCTCTACGAACGTTTCTCTTTATCGCACGATACGTCGTCGGCGCCGAGAGGAACGAGTCAAGATTGCCTCCTTTCGCGAAACTCACACGATCTGCGGGGAGCCGTGGATGAGGAAAGATCTCGGGGATCTCGCGAAAGACGAATAATAGCCGGACTTCGGAATTTCACGGAGGATATCCCCGGGTTGGTGACTGAATTCTCGAAATTGTCTCGAGGTTTATACTCGGACCGAGTGTCTGGATCCGATTTCATTTGACGGTCGAGGAAATTCCGGCTGCTTCCAGAGGACGAATGAAGAAGCTGCCGACTTTGAGATCCTTCCTCCGCTCGAGACTGCCGCGGCGCGAGAAGTTTCATTCCGCTTGATGCGGGATCATTCGGTTCCATGGGAAGTATTTCCCCGAGGTCTCGTACGTTTTGACGATCATGATGGAGAGAGAAGCCTCTTAAGGGATTTCCTTATTTTCAACTCCTGCCAATTGCAGTATTCTCGAAAACGACGGATCTCGTGATACGTCGGGAGAGTTGCATCGGTCGGACTCGGTATTAGTTGTCAGGGCGGACCCGTCGTGGCTGCCGCCGCCGTCGAAACCGCCGCAGGAAACCAACCGGTCGACCATCTAGGCGGACAACCTTCCGTCCGTCTGACAGGACAGGCATTGAGCTGACCATTAATTTGGCAAACTGAGGAGGGAGATCCCTGCTGACTTTGGAGCCTTCGCTGCCTAATGACGGTTATGATCGCTGAGTGCACATGCTTTCGGGCAGTCGTTCGCTCACAAGCTTGAGCACACGTCTAGCCACGCAGCGCATCCAGCTAACAACCCACCCACCCACCGGCCAGTCACGCCACCCAGTGGCACACACTAACGTAACTGTGACGGCGACATGGGTGCCCCACGTATTCAGCTGATGAACACTTCCGTTATCTCAACTGGCTGTTTGAGTAGATTTGTCAGACTTACGCGAAACCGACCGGCTTGCATCCACAGCTAACCCCGCCGCGGCAGGAAACGTTTGTCCGATAGGAGGATGCCGACCTCCGAAATTCCTAGAATTCGCTGAAAGCTGCATCCCGACGGGGGAATCTCCACATGATCTCCAGTTTCGGCATGAGTTCGGGGGACTCCGGTTCCGAAATTGAGATGATCATCGGAGACGCACCTAGCGCTCCGACAGAGTTCTATCAGTGAACTTGTTCGGACCTCTGCGGGCCACGGCCGCCATCGAGATTCCCGGACGAGCTGCGGAAAGATCCCTGAATTCGATGCGTCAAGGCCGCAAAAGTTTCCGCAGTTGTTCGATGCCCGTGGTCGGTAACAATGGGATCGTCCCACCGCAGCCTGGGTCCCCTTTTCCCCGGAAAGACCGGAGGTAGAATCCAGACTCTAGGCTCGCACTACCACTATCGGAATCGCTTATTAATGAGGAGCGCTTGAATTTCCAGTTACCACTCACGCAGCGAGGTCTCCGGCAGCGAAAGCGAAAGCGCTTGGCGTCACTCGGGACATCGTCAAAACCACCGAAGACACCATCACAGATCGAACGTCGAGCTAATCGACAGTCAACCTCAATGGCTCGAAGTTCAGCAGCAGATGCGACAACAAAACACTTCTCTTATGTGAGTAGACTCCATTTAGCGCAACTCAAGAGGATTTTCGAGAATTTCCGAGCTTAGTGATACCCCCTGGGTGCTCGGGTGGGAGTTCCGTCCGAATCGAGGAGCAGCTAGAAATCGCAGGAGTCTCCTGAGCGGAACGTGATTCCTGCGCCTAACAGCAGAACGAAAGGTTAAGCAAGTCGGCTGTCGGACGGACGAACCGACCGAACTAGAGATAGATCGCGGCAAATCGAAGAGTGGATTGAGTTCGTGGAATTATTCTCGAGGGCACTCGTCGGAGCATCGCATTGATTTCCTCTTAAATCAGTCTAAACGAACGAAGGCCATCGCTCCGGTTCCCCACGGAACTTGTATACAAGTCCTCGTCCGTTTGAAAGCGGACTCGAATGTCCGTGCGTTCGTTCTCTCCCAAGCCACTCGCTCAGGCCCCGTTGTTGTTGTTGGAGATGTTAAACAAAAACTCGTTCCACGATTCCCCGACTGGCAATCACAGGCCATGCAAAGCTCGCTCGAGCGAGCTGGAGGATTGGCTCGCGTTACTCAATGCTTCCCGAGTCGCAACGTCTTGACGTCAAGTTGACGTGGCCTGCGCGAAGACGTGGGCGCTCGTTTGGGGATCGCAGGCAGGCAGGCGGGCATGCTGGCCGGCCAGTGATTCGACGGTGGTGGCCCGGCCGTTCGCAAGACCGGCCGTTTTCTCGCACGCCGGGCGGCAGTCAATCAGTGTAGTCCCGTGAGTCTCGTAAGTCGCTTCATCGAACCGGATGACTGTCTCTGTCCCCGTCCTCTGCTCGTCGACGGACGCACCGACAGCTATGAGGGAAATAAGCTAAAAGATGATGACGTAGCTTTCTCAGAAAGCTTTTGTGTCGATACTGCGTCTCCCTCGGAGACAGCGAACGGCCTACAGAGATGGGGCGGAACCTGTTACATGTAATGATGCAGCCCTTGTGAGCAAGCGAGCGAGCCGACAGGCGAGCGAGTCCGTTCCATAGCGGGGCCCGGGACCCCTCCTCCTTTCCCGTCTCTTCGCTCGTTGCTCTGCTCGTTCATCCGGAGGAGCGAAGACATCATCCGCAGAGTCCACCGACGACTGCGATCTCGTACACGGAGGCACCGCTCTGGAGTCGATTCGAAGAGTTGTGAAAAAAAAACGGCGGCGACAATCGGCCGGGCAAAGCGCTCAATTTGGAGATGGGAAGAAATAAAGTGAAGCCTCTCACTCGCTCGCTCTCCCGGCCGCTCGTCGACAACTTTCATCTTATTCCGTTTTTATTCTCCGCCGTTTCATCGGAGCGTTTTGATTTGCAGATCACCCCAGAGCGCCATCGTTCGCAGCCTGAACAATTCAGCGGCGAGACGACAGAGCGGTTACGTACAATCCGGTGTCGAGACGGAGAGCGAAGCCGTTTTCAGCGCTAACTCTTCCCGGAAACGCCACAGAAAGCACCGATCGAAGAGTCCCGGTCGCCGAGACAATTTGATCCCGCAGGAAGTCCGTAAGCTCATCGAGTACACTCCAATCGAACCCGAATGGCCGTCAGGACAAGATGAGCTACGCGACATCAAATACACGAACGTGGAGACCGATTCTCGCCTCTTCAAGATTAGGTTCGTATTTATCGTTAGAGGAGGGAGAAGTCGGGCTTCCGGGGATCGACGACGCGAATGAGGGGATCGAGCCTCGAAAACGACTGCATGCTAAGGGTCGAGGAAGAAAAAGAAAGCAACTACCCACAACCGTTCAATAAAGTCTGTGTCGATTGATTAATAGCGAACGGCGAATGAATTTATGGCCTATTGGTGTCTTGTGCCGGTGCACTACCCTCCGAAATTTCCTCTCCCCGAGCATATCTCACTGGCCGATAACTCGTCAAACTCTCATATCGATTGCTTCTGGGCCGTCTGACTGAGAGGCAGTCGCTTCGTTACGGTGTCGTCTTTACCCGACTCGAAGCCAAACTTCATTTCATCTTCGAACGGTCGTCTGCGGCACCGCAACATCGGTCGACATTTTTCTTGTCATATCCCGAAGCCGCTACTTAGTTTGAGGAAGCCTGACAAGAGATGGTCAATTGCTCTTCGATAATGAATGCTCTTCTTTCGATCCCGTATTAGATACAACGAGAATTCTCAGCGGCGTGCCAAAGTGGCTGTCGTTAAGAACCAAAACCCAGAAACCGGTTCGACTCACTCGAGACGATCGAACCACTCTCAAAGTAGATTGGCACATTCTACACCTCCTCCCCCTTACCAACTTCAACAACATCATCATCATCATCAGCAGCAACAACATCATAAGCAGCAGCAACAACAGCATCCTCAGCAGCAGCAACAGCAGCAACAACAACAATATCAGCAACAGCCCAACGATATCGGTGGTGAGTAGTCTATCTATTCTGTCCGGAGAACGATTGGAGGGCGTCGATTAGATTGACCTGGTTGCCGTCGGGGGCACGGTGGTACAGAGCTTTTGTCTTCTTGTGATGTCTGATGTCATTCCACAACGGCCGCGGTCCCCGATGGCCCATTATCTTGAGCACCGTTCAGATCGACGTCGTGTCAGGATGAGCCGATCGATGTGTACTTTCGAGCTCCGCTCCAAATGTTACCATCACGACAGTCTGAATATTCATCCGAAATGAGAGTCGAGTAATTAGGCGACTTCGATTCGAGGAAAGGGAAAAATGATGGGGAAATAATTATGCAGCTCCGGCCATTAGTGCTTTTCATCCGTTTAAGCTCTCAGCATCTATCTCTGAATCTACGTTCTTATGCTTTTTCAACATTTCTGATCGCTCACGTGGAGTGCTCTCTCTCCCTAGGATTCTCGGAAACGCCGTCGAAAACGAAAAGCGAAGATAACCTCCGAGAGAGTCGTACGCCAACGGGTTCCGACATGAACGGGTGGAAGCCTTCGAGGCAAGTAGACAACAAGACGACCCCTCCAGGCCCAGCGCTTCCGAAAACTAAAGTGGCGAGAGCACCGACGCACACCTCAACCGCGAAGCCGGTGCCATTGCTACCATCGCCATCCGCGTTACCACAAACGAAGTCTTTGTCCACGATTCTATGATCAGGACACATGTACACAGACACGCACACTGACACAGAATGCTTTCCTTGCTCGCTCTCTCAATAATCATTCCTTTTTGGCCTCGGCTTCCGTGAATGACTTACGGAGAACGCAGACACGCGACGTCATCTTTCCAGGGGAAAGCATACTGGTGTGGAGAATTCGCCTTCCTATCCGAGTTGGGTCGTGGTGATCTTTCGTGGTGTGATAATGGTGTGATCCTGTGGAGTTCGCAACTGACTTCTGAACTAACAATAAGCTTCCTTTTCCCTCGTCATGTCTCACACTAGGCCTCATACGCTGCTGTTTAACCATCAATCGACCGAGAACCATCTGCAATCATATCATCAATACAACCAGAACTTCTCTGGCTTCCCGTCGAATCTCCTCACGGCTTCGAGTTCCTACCACTCGTTCAACTCTCCGAGGTAAGTTCCGTCTACTCCATTCACTTATTGAGGAAGTATTCAAAGCCACTTCTCGAACATCGAAATGAGCCGTTGTTGGTCGTTCCCCGCAACGCCTCGAATTTTTGATTTGATGACGACGGCCACTTGTCAACCGGCTTGTTGCTCTTTCGACCGCCCTGGCTCACCCGAAAGATGTCTCACTAAAAGACTTGGACGTTTCACCAGCCGACATCGCTAACTCAGCTTTTCTGACAGAACCCCGCAGCAGACAGTGATCCACCGAGAAGTTGTGGGGGACCTGATCGGTCCTCCCGTGGGGCCACCCTCGCATCTTTCGTCTCCCCAGATGACCCCGGTGTCGTCAGGCTACCAGTCGGCGACCACCACTTCTCCAGTCGTGCCTGCCAGGATGCCAAAACACAACTCGGGAGGGTGAGTTCAAACAGCAAAACTGAGACCAGCTGTTTTTCGAGGGGAGAAAAAAAATCAACAACAAGAGCCGTGCACGGACACAGGAGCGTCCGGGGGGGGCGCGGGACAGACCCGCTCCTCAGAGGAGGCTTGTGTTCCGGGTTGGCTTCTGACTCGACCCGCAACCGTCTGCAGATCCAGAGCTGACTTGGTAGGGGGGCGATGCCGTCGAACGACGTACACTTTGTTAAGTGACAGTATGAAAGTGATTTATCGTTGCGACGACAACAACGAGAACTGGGTAGATGGCATCCATAACAGCGGAGAGAACGGCTCAGAGATCGTAGTCTTAGCCGAATTTCATTTTTCCTCAACCTTTTACCCTGATGCCTCCCCATCCCGATTTCACTGAGAGCCGTCTCGGCAAGCGGACTTCGCTAGAACAGGAATCGGGGCGCCTGACTCGGGCTTGAGGTGGATTCTCTTGCCGACATGAATATTCCGAAAATCCATTCGCTTTTTCGGGCGATTTTTCGGGAGCTGCCGATTCAGTCAGGCGCGAAGCCTCGATGTCGGATGGGCGTTGCTCGCGGACTTCCCCCTGAATGACTCGGAAAATATCTGGCGGACGAGGGCTTCGCATCCTCAGAGTATGATGGGCATCGAGTTTTCGCTTAACTTGACTCGTCGGAGCCTCTTGCCGTGTCAAGTCCACGTTCTTCGACGGTGGGATGACTCGGAGAGATTGACCCCCGACTCGCCGCCCAAGGCTATAATCTATGGCAGTATCCAAGCTAAGACGAAATTCGATTTCAGCTCGAGCACGTCAGGTTCATCTGGAGGGATGCGAGTGACATTTCAAAATCCCCCCGTGAGCCAGCCGTCACCACTTGCCAAGGTAAACTGGACGAACCAAGTTGGAGGAGTAGTGACCGCGTGACACTTCTCAAAAACGGCGACTTATTGTTGAGTTTTCGTTAGCCAAAGGTTTGCTTTCGTTCGTTTCTTTGGAATAATTTTGCTGGGAGACCTAAAAGCGCAATTAATTTGTCTGCTTTCGTACTCCGATTCGAGTGTTGTTTGTCTCCGATTTCCTGGCTGCACTGGTGCATGAGCCGGACAAGCTCGAGGATTAATTCTGTCATCGTCTCTGCAGTTACCTTCATCGGGCTCCCTGCCCAGGAATCACAGTCCGATACCGGTGGCGCCTCCGAGCTTGCCGTCACCTCAAAGCAATCAGTTGGTACTGAAGACTTTCCAACCTTTGAAGAAATCTACATGCTGAGCGAGCGAGTGTGCGACGAACGAACAAATTCTTATCTCTCCCTGGCTGTGTGTGATGAATAAACGATACCTACTTAAGATGGAATCGAGACGACCACCGAGTGTCGACCACAAATCTTATCAGCTAGTTGAGTATTGACAGAGATGGTTTTCGAAAACATCAACCCCTATGGGGAATACTTGAATGGAATTCCATAGGAATGGATGGAAGTCATATTGAAATTCAGTTTAGCCGTGATCCTCATGACAGCCGATTGATTCGCACTATCCTCGGAGCGGAGCTAGCGCAAACGGAGATATTACCTATTTAACCGATTGAAGGCTCGGGAAGACGTTTCGTTCGATGTCCTCTATGTCCAGGCTCTGATGTAATTTAAGGACCCTGCCTCCCGGCCTTCGAAACTTCCCTCACAAGTGGCTAACAGCTTCAGAGAGAAGCCTCTGGTTCATCGGCCAGCCCCTTGTTCTGTGGAAATCGCATATATGATTTTCTTGTCTCCACCTGAACGATGCCAAATACCGATGCTGAGATCATAATAAATTGTGTCATCGCATAAACTCTCTCTCCATCCGATTGAATGGAAATAGCTTTCTCTCCGATTCACTCGTCGGTAGTGAAGGCTAAGAAGGAATCGGATTGGAGCCAGGATGGCGGATGGCGGCGTTCTCAGCCTGTAAGCAAGTGCACGAGAGTTCATCCCGCGACTTTACGTTTCTCTTGCTGCCGTAGGTCCTCGCCATATGATAAACCTACCTAATAAAATAGCCTGACAACATGAAGTCCTTGTCTTTCACCACCTGTAGTGAGCCGGCCTCTCGAATTCCCGATGGGATATTGAGGCGAAAATTCGACGAGTCAATGGCTTTGATTCTCCTATATCTTCCAGTACGAGGGGACGTATTCCTCGACACAGAAGAGTCTGGTGGGAATGAGCGCGAGGTGCCGGTTTTCAGTTCGCTGTCATTTCATGAAGTCGCCGCTCGCGCAAGAGATGGTGAGGGTGCGATCCCTGCTATCGGCCATTCCTTGCGGGATTTCCATACGGAGTCACCTCACCAAGCTCCAATAGGGCGTCACCTTACGTCGATTTCCATACGTTCGTAGGGAACCCTTACCAAAGATCAGGTACCCGGCCTCGATCCTCCCGGGAACATTTGCTTCCAGGACCGTCCTCGGGAGCAATACCAAGACGGTGACACCCGGAGATGGATGTGCGGTGCAGGAATGAAATAGGAAATATCCTCAACGAATAAGCAGGGTCAAATCTGCAATTCTTTCCCGAGGAGACGTCTTCATTGCTCAACTGCTCGACCATAGCTCTAATGGAAAAGGACGGAGTTGAAGTCTGAGCTGATGTGGAGAGCTCACAAAGCTTGGGGAACGTCTTTCGAGCGTTCGTTAAGCTCCCGAGGCAAGCCCTTCATCCGAGTGACTGTCCGCTCGTTCGTCGGTTGGTCAGCTCCTTCGCCAGTCCGAAGGTTTGTTCGCTGTTTACCCGCTTCGCCCGTCTCCCTGTTCGTTTGCTGATGAGGTCAGGTAGCTCACTACAAATAGAAACGGCCTTTGGGAGCGCTGCCATCTGTTACGGTCGGCCATCAAAGCGAGCGTCGCTTTCTCTGTAGAACTGTTGAATCCGGAGGGAACTTTCGACCGAATGTTCGACGCGGCGGCGAGTCATCGGCGGTGCGAGCGATACATTAGGCGGCTTCATCATTCCATTGATTTCATGCCGCTTGTCATTCTCCGCGCGAGCTTCATCTAAGCCGAATGCTTTCATTAATCCACTCGTTCATTCAGCCACCCCGGCGTCATCCATACGCTCGATGAAGAATCAATCGGGACCCTTTCGGATAGCACTTTTCAATCACCGCCTTGCTGATGAGTTTCGAATTGAGTGCGGCTTTCGTTGAGACCGGGTGCCTCGGTTCGGATGTCGCTCGACCGACCGACTGAACGCGCCGTCACTGACTGCCGGTCGCTCCGACTCTGTCGCAAGCACCGAGGGAGGATCAATATGTCGACTGTATTTTGTGCTGAGGCATACCAAACGTCCCGGGCACACTGTGAAGCCCCATATTCGCTAACCCCGGCCTCGAGCTTATTGGACTGACTCCTTGCAGGGAGATTATTGACAACGGTGCCGCGACACGTTCCCGACCGCGAAGACATGCGCCCGCAAGCCGGCGAACCGTCTCCCCGACATCATTCTCCGCGTGTCGTTCCGCACCGATGCTGAATGTGTGTTTTTGGGGTTTTGAGCGAGAGATATTATCCACACCGTCGTCCGGACTCATTCTGGAACGAAACGACGCTCGAGCCTACACCTCGTCGGTGACGCTCCGCAGAGATGATCAGGGCTAAGGAAGGGATTTGCGTCAGCTTGGCAAACGCCTTCATTCGAGCCAGAAATAATTTCTCCATCGCGGGACCCGAAAGCTCGATCTCTATTCTTAGTTCGATGTCCTCGATCGATCGATTCTACGGCGCAGAGATCTTCGAGGCAGAAGCTTTTCGAGAATTGAGGTCTTAGGTTTATTTCGAGAATCCGCATTAAATATAGAAATCCGCAGAAAATTCCCCATTCACACCATCATAACAAGTAACTACACGCAATCATCATCGGCTCTATGTATTTCAGCACCGTTCTTGTAATTCCGCTTACCTACGAGCATCAGAGAGATAGAAATCGTTCCTCGATGTCCATGACTCGACCGAGCCGACTTCTCGATCAATTCACGGACACTTCTTGTTTTTCTTTGTACAATCCTCTCTAGGCACAGTCCACCTGTCGAACCTTCAACAGATCGAAATTGCCTTTGATGTGGGTGTCAATCACATCTTTCGGGAAGAAAACTCTTGAATTCTCGTTCAGGCTGTAGAATGTCTGCAAGCTTCCTTCTTCGGTACGATGCGGAATACTCTCGTCGCCGAAAACCATGTACGTCAGACCTGTGGCCATCAAGTTCTTGCAGTACTCCTTCTGCGTGAAGGTGACGACAGTGCTCCGCATAGGGAACTTTTCACGCCATGCATGCGTCACGTTCATTTTGAAGAATAGTGTCCGCTGCTCTCGCTTCATATCTATGACCTTGCCTTCGACAACGAAATCGTGCTCGCAGATTATTCGCTTAGCGACGCTGCGTCCATTCCTTGTGGTCGACAGATCCATCCTCGTCCTTGTATCGAACGGAATCAGCGACGGACAGCTGTTCTGGAGGCATTTGCACATCTTATCGCTGTCGCCGTCGCATTCTACGAGAACCCTCCGGATCTGTGAGAGTTCGTAGAAAATTGGACAATTCCCGATTTTGTTATAGTAATCGTAGACGGAAACCGCAGCTGGCTGAGCGTTCACTACCGTGAATTCTTGGACGACTCGGAACGAGAAGCACGTATTTCTGTGCGGCTCGAATTCGCTCACGTACAGAGTGACCCGGTCGGGCACGATATCGAACTTTTCGATTTGTCGCTCTCGGACAAGCTTGACAAGATCCTCTTTTAAAGCTTCGTATCCAGTGATCATGTCCACCTGAACGATACTCATCGCCGTCGCCGTATCCGCGAGCAGATACGCGCAAACGTCCAAGCGGTAAACTAGCTGATCCGCTCTCAGCGAGCGTTTCTGCCGACGATGGCGCTGAAGGAGAACGTCCACCGTCTTTTCGGCTTCACTCTGGTCGTAAGAGTAGATCTCCAAGTCGACAGAGTCCGCGTCGGATTCCTGGCTTGAAATGGTCACGTTGAACGGACACTTGTCCTTAGCAGGAATTATCGTGTTGTATTTGATCAGGACGGATAGCACCCCGCTCCCGTGACCGGTAGCGTGCACTTCGAGCTTATCGGACGATACTTGGGTCGACAACGTCTGCGGGATGGACGCCGATTCTCGCTTGACTCGGAGAATTCTCTCGACGTTCTTGCCATCGCTGAGGTGAAGTGAAAGATCGACGGGCGGCTGAGGGTTTGTCGAGAGATATTCGCTCAGAGCCTGCAGAGCAACCACGGTGTCCTGAGTCGACTGGAAACCACCATTCAGAGTCTGCTGAGAGATGAGCCAGTAGAATATCGGAGCGGCAAGGCTCGTCCGCTTGGCTTTCGTAGCGGCGAGGAGTGCGTAGGCGGTTCCTGGAATGAAGCGATGCATTTGTCGTTTCGCTTGGAAAAATACTCGATCCCAACAAGAGTTGTTCCGGCACGAACCTTCAGCAACCCATGGATGGTAAGCATCCTCTTTCAAACGCAGAGTATTTGTGTCCGCATCGCTTCTCATCAAGTCCGCCATATGGTCCAGAGCCGAGTTTGAGTAGTTCGTATTGCTCAGAGCGTAGGCAACCAAGGCCGCTGGGTAGCCCTCCGTGGTCGTGTCGTAGTTCTTCATGAGGAAATTCTTAGCCGCCGAGACGCTCTTGCGGTATTTCGCGCGAACGTCGCCGGAACTTCTACGGAAGAAGATTATCGAGTCAATGGCGAGAAGCGGAGCCTTGAATCCGTAAGATTCCTGGATTTCCCGCGATTACGAAAAAGCCAAACTATCTAGAAGCCTCACGGAACTCACAGAAGAGGAGCGCACTCATCGAGTGCGGCGGTTACGAAAGAGGTCAGAGCGAGTTTTCCTTTGACACCGCCCAGAAGAGCTTTGTGGAGAATGGGTTTGATCTCTCTGAAACTTCCGTCTGGCTGCTGTTTCGTCGTTAGCCACTCGATAGCTCCCGAAGCAGCCAGTGGGAACGTCTGAGGATCAGCGAAGAACTGAGCAGCCCTACAGTAGACTTTCGCGACGAATGCGGTCAGCCAAATACTGCTGCCTCGATTCCTGAAGGCACAGAAAGATCCATCCCTCTTCTGGAAAGTCATCTGGCGCGAGTAGGCTGCAATCGAACGGTGAGGAATTAATGAAACTCTGTTCGTGGCTCGCCCGCGCAAACCCGACGAATCACGAAACTCACCCAGCATCATGTTTTGTTTGATCTTGCTCTCCTGTTTCGGGTCCAGGGTCCCAATTTTTTTTTATACTCGGCGATGAACACGATAGGTGCGAGTCGCATCATGTTCTGCTCTCCACATCCCTTCGGCAACGAGACCAGAGTTTCGACCTCGTTGATGCCGGCGTGTACGGCAGGGCCCATTTTTTCTCCTATAACGGACAACGTCACCTTCGGAGTGCCGTCGACGACGTCTTTCGGTAATAAGGTGTCAATCGTAATCGTTTGGTTCTTCTTGTCGGGATCGATCTGGGCTAAAAATGCATAGGAAGTCGATGAGAGTCGGTTACTCGGGAGCTCTTCCGAACCGCGGAGAATATTGGAGGAAAAAAGAGGGAGGAACTTCGTATAGGGCCCTCGTCCCGTATAGATGTTCCACAACCTACATATACAGCTCGGACCGCATTCGATGCTCCGGGCTTTCCTTCTCTGGGTGTTTGTCGGATCGATCGAAACCGAATACGACTGTCGAACTTCCCGGCCTTCGGGCTGGAGAAACAATAAATTTTAGGAGCCGAAATCTCGGGCGACTTGGGCAGGTCGGGCTGATGCCGATCCCGAGACTCCTCTGCGGGAATGATCTCCTCGTGACTTGCCGCCACGCGGAAAAAGATTGAAATGCAGGAAGGCTCCGCGTGCGAAACACTACTCACAACGACGTAGAGCTCCTTGACGACCGAATCGCTCCCCTCCGAGCTGATGGCATCAATTTTCAAAGGGAAATAACCTTCTTTGAGCGGGAAGACCGGGATGCCAACTTTGAACGCCGAATTGGCAGCGATGTCGAACCTAATCGAGTCAGATTTCGATCCGGGCCGCGCTTGGGTGCAAACGTCATTCACCCCGTTTATGTAAAGATTTCCTGGAATCCCAAAGTTTCCTCAGCGTCACAATGACTGTCGACGGCTGGCTCCCTTCGGTGGCAGAGTTCAGCCAGGGAAGTCATCCCGTTGAGATAAATCTTGCGGAGCATGAATTTTCGGAATGCCCCCCGCAGGAACTCACCGAAGATATTCTTGTTGTTGTAATTGTACAGAGAAACCTTGATGAGGACGTGCTCGTTCCGCACAACTTTGTACGGGAGATCGACTTGCAGGAAGAAATTTTGTTCTATGGCGACTTGTATCGGGGGCTGTGCACATATACCACCCTGAGGGTTCACCGACACGCTTTGGATCGACCACGTTGTGATGCTGTGCGGAAGTGTGACACTGATGTCTTTGCGGCCGGAATCTGCGAATCATCGATCGACACGTGATTTTTTGAGGACCGAGTATTCTGGATTCCATCTCCCCGAACCCGAATGGTAAGGAAGGGAAGGAAGGATGGATGCAGGAGCGAGTTAACACTGAACGAACCTTCGATCAAGATTTCTTGGAACAGAAATGATTCGCGGAAATCCCGCCTGACCTTAGATTCAGGTATCGATTCTTCGACCTCGTCGGCCTCTCCGAAGCGACCTGCACATGTGGGCTTAGTATATTGCAGATTCGAGGAATAGGGAAAATATTTGGGCTATATGAAGAGTATATCAGCTGAGGTTCACCTCTCGACGAAAGTGTTGAAACCTCGGGGTTCGCCCCAAACTTCTCGAGGACGACATAGCCTACGCTATCCTTGGCGCAGCATTCCAAGAAAGTTTTTTGGCAATGCATCTTCAGGCGATTATCTTTACGGAACTCATGGATCAAAGCTTGGCTTCTCTCTTCGCAGCTCCTTGAAAAGAATGCCGGAGTTTTCGAGTTTTCACGTACCGGTCGGAGGAAATTCACGATACATATGTACTAGCTCGGCAGCTCCGAGAGCCCCATATCTTTTGCGAGACCAACTTGTTTAGGATGTAGTTGGAGAAAGCCAAACGACAGCATTTTTCTCCCAAGGGGTCGTTTTTGAAGCGGTCGACGATGGCATCTCTACGGGTTCGTCTGTGCAGGACTCTCGCGTGGCAGTTCTCGACGTCAGGAACGTCGATTCTGTCGGTGAACACGACGACCCCAGCATGTCCTGCAGAGCTTGCGAGATCTATGCCCCCTCCGTCTTTGCAGCCTCGGTCGGTTGCTTCCAGTTTAGAGAATATCTGGGAAATCGAAACTCCGTTAGTGATCTTGGTGGAGACAGGGTGGGGGTAGGGAAACTCCCAAAATGTGAACCACTCACAGAGTTCCTCGTTAGAATATTATCCTTGCGGATGGCGTATACGGCTTCATCGACAGCCATAATCCCGATCACTGTTCCTCGTTTTGCTCCGCTGACCTCGATGTTTCCGACACCCCCGGGTATCGGATATATTGTCTGTCGGAGCTGTCGGGGCAAATAAATTTCCTTAAGAGATTATTCCCAACCCGTCTCTGGAAACCTCGATGTAAGGGGGATAACTCCCCGCGTGAGCTCCCATGGTAGGTTATTCCCCGCGAGTTCAGCCGCTAGCGGTAGGAAAGCCACGGAATACTTGTTCTCGGGAATATTTGCAATATTGTTGCTAGAGGTCGAGCGAGAGCTGCGTTACCACTCACCTCATAGTCCGCGTGGCGACAGTCTTGCTCGATTGCAATGAAAAAACTGTCGATGAAAACCTCACCGTTGCTCTTCCAAGCGATTGCTACTATCCGTGTTTTCGGTGACATCTCAGGAGTTATGTCGAAAGAGAATCCCTCTTTTGTACTTGTGGACGAGACTCGAATGTTTTTCGCATTCATGATCTTCCCTGGAAAAAAAAACATATCTCAGGATTCAGATCTTCGTGGGTCACGCACAGCATGATCCCCGGCCCTGGAAACTTCCCCGCGTATTTCGATGTCCTCACCTCCGGTGACAGCAGCCACGACGGCCCCGACGAAAACTCCTCTCGGGTGGAAATTCAACTCAGACTTTACTTCATTACCCACTGAAAATCTCTTGGTGACGGGGATTTTCCTCAAGGCGATATATTCCCTCCCTTTGTACGCTTTCAGAGTGGCGGTATGACTGGACGTGAACGGAGGGTTCCCGACTTCTAGGCTCACACGAATCTGGGTGTATTTCGGATTCGTAGGTATGAGGAAGCTCGCAATGCCGTTCTCATCTGTGCGGACCAACTTTTGAGGGAGATTAGTGATTCTCCTCTCGTCATCATCGAGAACTTTGATTTCAACGGCGACATCCGACGCGATTCGGCCGTTCGCATGAGTGACTTGAACCTGGGAAGGGATCGAGAATCGTGTTGAGAGAGCGGTCTAGGGGAGTCCACGGATCATTTTCCAATCTATTAGGCACCTACGGTCGCGAGAGCTGGATATCCCGGTCTGATCTCCTGCTGCATTTGCGCGTGAATCTTGTACAGGTTCCGCTCGAACAAGGCTTTGTCAGTGAAACCGGATTCCTGTTTTGACGTCGACTGCTCGAGAACGACGGCTTCGATGAGTAATCGCCTCTGGTGAACGCTGGGCTGCCAGCTGTCCCCGACCTGATACGGAGTGAGATCCACTTGGAATTCGGCTTCTCCTTCCTCATCCAGTACCGTCCAATTACCCGCGCTCTCTGGAACGAGGAACGGGTAAACCTAAGGGTGGAGCTCAAACAGAAGGGGAGAATTGATCTGTTTTTCACCGCTCCCTAATCACCCTTTGGATCGGATCTTCTAGGATTTGACTCACGGTATTGCTGAGGGTCACCGGCGGCTGTTTTCAAGAACTCCTTGATCATAACTTGACCGCGAACAGGTTTTCCATAAACGTGCGTAGCCTTCACTCTGACGGGAACTGACTTCATGCTCGGAATTAAGGTCTCCGGCATATCGACGTCGACTCTGAAGGTTGGAAGGACGTACTCCTCCATACCGAAAGTGGTTCTTTCGCTTTGTTTGAAGCCATCCCCATAGAGCACTTGGACCAGCCATTCACCGAGCATGGGATCTTCTGGCAATGTATAGTTGAAGCTAAACAAACTTTGGCTTGGCTCGTGGAAGTCCTGCGACATTGCGAGCTGACCGTCGGGATTCTGAAATAATCCAGTTTGAGTTGTCAGATCGCAATTCCCTCCGGGGACTCCATCCCGGCTGTTCGTGGCTATCAGGGGAAGTCGTCGACAGAAACGCCCCGAGAGCAAACGAGTGAAGCTTCTGATGACTTCAGGCAATGAACACCCTTTTTATGAATCACGAGTGACGCAATTTTCGCGACCTGGCGATATTCCGGCTAAATTCTGTCATCGGCTTCACGCACTCACCTTGACTTGCAGCCGATAGGTACGATTAGCCGGCAGAAGGTTTTCGTCGGTTGCCATGAAACGGACGTGAACTGTCGTTTCTTTCGGGTTGTAGAGAGGTTTGTCCGTCTGGAGGAATATGTGTCCGGACTTCTGGCTGACTTTCAGTGTCTTCACTTTTTTCGATCCGTTCAAAGCGGTTTTCAAATCAATGTACGGAGTGAAGTTCTTGTTGATCCGGAACTTCAAAACCGCGATCTGAAGCGAAATCATTTGAAATGTCCTGGACCCCGGTCCAACGACTCTTTTCTCTATCGCTTCTCGTTCTACAGTCTTCTGATCCGGGATACTTGTGTCGAATGAGCAACCGTATTGAAAATTCATCTCGTACCTGTCCGGGTTGGAGATCCACTTTCTTAGCGACATACTGGGCATCAACTCCCAGATTTGGATTATCTTCCAGAGTGACTTCCCCTCGAAGAGCTCGGTTCTGGTCATTGATCAGGAGGATCGTCTCCTCGTTACCGGCAACCAATTGGTTTGGTGATACGACGATGTATGCTCTGCAAAGATTCGTAATAAAAACCAGGTGGAAAAGGGCTCGAGCTGAAGGTCCCGTCTCTGGCGGGGAGGTCCGGATCCCGCGACCAACCGTTTCTAGATGAGTAGAATTGATTGAATTGCCGGTTGGGGACGCCCGGGAACGGATCTTCGAGAAGGCAATGACGAACACTCGTTGATTGGAGTGACTTCGACTCTCGGAAATTCCCCGAGAACCGAGACCGGCATCTAAGCACTCGACAATCACAATGACGCCAGTAAAAGAAATTTTGAAAGGGACCATTGGTTGTCCGTACGAGACAACTACGTTTCCTTGGCCCATGGGAAAGAAACCCGACTACATCCCGTAGATACGAAGCGACCCGGAGCTATTCTTCGAATCATTCAACCTGGCATCCAGCTTTTCGCCGAGTTATCGATAAACAAGAAATCATCATCATCATCATCGAGTATATGATTTGATTCAGTATCCGCGTCTGATAAAACGGACATATACATGGAACCAAGACGAGAGCAATTTTCGTGACTGATGATCACTCGTCAACAAGGTTTCAAGGCTCGCTTAGGAAGTCACCGTCTTCACGCTTTTAGTTCTCGCATCGTAGCCTGATTGTCACTCGCACCCGTGTGGCTGCCGTATGGCAGAAGAGAAATCTAGCGACAAGGAGGACGGAATCAATCACTCCGAAATTTTCGCAAATTGATCGACGAATCTCGGGGTTTTTCCAACAAATACACCAAAGACCACAGGGCTGGGCTCGAGATAGAATGAAGTGACGTCTCAGCTGTTCCTCCAAGATGGATATCCGTGAAAGGTCGAAAATGGCATGCATGATATTTCGCTCCCGTCTCAGATCGGAGTACTCCCCCTGGAAGCTTCCCGCGAATGGCCCGTGAATTGAATCATGTCCACAGAGCACGAGCCGCGGTCTTTCTGGGTCTTCCCCACAGCTCACAGGGTTCACCAACGGAATCTCAGGATCCAACGTCCCAGTCAGAGGAATATCAGTTGAGCAACAATCGATCTCCATCGCGGTACAGCAGACGTTCGGGCATCGATCTTGTGCCAAAATATTCCAGAAGTTATGGCGATTCTTCTGCTGGGAAGGATCCGCAGGGTCTATCGCTGACATTCTTTCTCACAGAGCGTTTTTGTCTGGTTGCGATGCATGACGGTGAGATTCAATACTGGTTTCGTTCGGAAGTTTCTCTTGTCATCGCGCTTGAGAGACTCTCCTCACTCTGAGTAAATGAGAGTTCGTTTCTCCCGAGTTGAGTGAAAGCGCCCGATCATTATTGTAAACATTGTGTGTCTCGCGCGTAGTGCCATCGTAACATTCGAGAACAGATATCGAGCGGATGATTTCAAAAGGATACTCGTCGGAGCTGCACATGTTTATTTATAGTACTTTCCTATCAATCGACGTCATTCTTGACGCTTACCTCGTCAGCGTACACAAGGCACTAAGAATCAAGAGTTTGCAGCAGGTCGACGTCATTTCGAGCTCTTCTGGCGGTAACAACAGTACACTTCACCGTAAGGAGGCACTCAATCTGACGTCATGACACAAGGGTCGCACATTCCGGTTGTTCCTCTTTCAGCTCGGGAACCATGGATCACGGAACCGAATCCGCGCGGCGCTTCAGCTCCGATGCGCTCCGAACATCCGCTGATCTCAACACTCTCACAGGAGCTCAAGATATTCGCTCTTCTTCCGTGGGCTTGGGTGGCTGGTTTCGGTTCGCGGGGAGCTTCTCCCGACGATTATCGTCGTGCCTCCCCCCGGTAATCACAAGCGGGCGAAGAGTTCAAATCCTTTCGTATCGGCTCGCGTGGCCACCGTTCCCGTCTGTGATCGTAACGATCAGTCGATCTGCCGGCCAGGAATCGTAGCCGTGCCAGTACTGACAGATTAACACCAGTCACTGCAGTAGAAAGGATGACTATCAGACGATGAAGCGAACGGATAGGAGGAGCGCACTGGTTGCTCGCTCGCTGTGTGCGATCTGGAGAGGTCGTTGTCAGAGTTGTTCTTTCCCCGTCTTCTCTCTATAACATCTCTTTCGTTTTCTCGTACAGTGCTCTTACGAGCAGACACACGGCGTCGAACACGTCCAAACAACTCGGGAGGTAGATTCGAGGCGAGCTCGAGCAACTCCGGCTTTCTCTGAGTTTCGTCGATCCCATGAGTTCATTCTCAGCTGCCTCGGAATCTGTTCAAACACGTCGCCCGGGATGATCGCGCTGGGATGCCCCTCGCCCGATTGCAAACTCGAATCGACATCTGAGACTTCTCTCGATCTGGGATTGTGGGAAGCCCGATTCCTCGAGCCCCGCTCGGAATATTCTACTTTTGTCCTGAATGACGAATGCCGACCCATCCGGTCAGAACGGGTTGTGTGAAGGGAGGAGCGATGATCTTTTGTCATTTCCAAGCGCGCGATATGACTCGGGCTCCGTGAAGGATAGCCCGGCTGTACAGTCGACATGACTTTTTCTCTGTCGTGAGTTCGAGAAGATTCTTCCCGGGAGACCGCTTACTTTTCGGGAGGACTTCCTGAAAATCAAGAAGATTGCTCAAGTTTCAATGGCGACGGGAGCGTTCTGCAAGGTCAAAACATTTTGCGTGACTTAGTTCCGCTGAGCATGAGACCCTTAACTTGACCTCACACGAACATCCGAGAGCAAGGACTTCTAGCTCTGTATGTTTTGGGTGCACCGACACTCCAGATGAGCCACTTTGTACATTATTCGACTCGAGCAAAGCCTCAGATGATGATTTTCAACCCGCGATATCGTCGAACAATTCGAGCCTCGCTTGCATGCGCTGAATGGGCGCTTTTCCGAAATCACATTCAATTGAGACTTGAGGTTAGAGAAAATAATTGAAGTTGCCTACGCTCCTCGAGCCGCACGCTGCTGTGATTCTTGCTCCGGGTCGGTAGGACTTTGGAATCTGTGGTCTTTCGACTGAAAAGTCATTCTCAACGTCGCCGGTGCCACACGGTCTACGGTGTCTCTCGTGTCAGCCAGCGGATGTTTTGCAACCATTCATCATCATCTAGAGCTCGGTCATGGAGCAGCCATGAGCACCGATATGTAATGAAGAATTCCTTACATCTTGGAAAATCCCAATATCCCACCAAAGTCTACCATACCTGACAACCTGAACGGTCTATGTCTTCCGACAACTAATGGCACGGTGTCGAACGCGAAAACGGCGTCTCTACTTCCGTCCGGTACGCATGGCGTGAAGTCGTGAACTTCCACTCCGCCGAGGGATTCAATCAGCTACGAAACCGAACGAAATATCCATGCACGTTCTAATTTAATTGCAGTACCAAAATATATCATCACGCCCGCGCTCTGGTGTTTCACGGTCGGACAACCATCAAAACCGGGCGATCAAGCAGACGCCTGGAGCTGCCGCCGGGTCTGTCCCGTGTCCCGTAGCATATGTCTCGAGATCAATGATTGGGCAAGCAGAATGCGAGAATGCAACCAGCTAAGATTCTCCCAAGCGTATATCGAATCCATATCCAATAGAAAGTTCTAGAAGCTTTCTCTGGAAAATAGCGTGGACGGGAGAATCCATTTGAGGAAAAAGTTTATGGTACTAATTCTAGGACAGTATCCCATGTTATTCCCTGGACTTTCCGTCAAGGAATGGGGTCCCATGGCAGACCACGCTATTATGCTCGTGGGGTCGGTGATGCAGCGCCGTAGCCGGACGCGTGAACTTTTTGAACTTGGCTTCCTTTAATTTGCAAAGATCGAGCATTGGATCATTACGGATAGAGTATAGATTGCGCTCCATCTCCAGGGTTCTGTTTTCGATAGATGACCCTGCTCTTCCGGCCGTGAGGGTGGGCCGCGATGATGTAGTGCGAAAGACACATGTTTTCGTTGAACTCCATATGGGTACTACCACAGATGCTCGAGGGGCGGTACAAAAGATCTCAACGGCTCCTACGGAAGCCAGGTCATTGTTGTTCAGAATACATATCTCCGACTGCGAGTTCCCTACGACGCTCTCCCCGTTTGGGATCCGCAAGATAAGATCCTCCTCTCGGTCGAAACTCTGAAGGTATGCTCGCCCATATGCATCGGCGGCACAGATGTCCCTGTTTTCGTTTAGACTAGAGACTACGTTGTCGTGTCGTCGGGATTGTTTTATCGCCTGGATAGGAGTAGTTTCGGATTTCAAGTGATGATTTCGTGTCAAGGATGTGAACCCCTACCTCTAGAATGCTACGTACGAGATGAGATTAGGTCGTCGTTCTTCTTTTTGATCCTCGATAACCCGAGGTTTTCCCCAGAAGCTCTCCCGGCTAAATCTAGATGAGACGATTGGTTGCAACCTTCGCATACGGTACGGCGGACCGCAGCTGCTCGAGTCATCTCGACATTCTGTCTTTTCCTCCGATCCGACGTACCAGAATCTTCTTCTTCGAATCCCCTTCCTCAAGGAATCGGTGCGATGTCGCTGTAGCCCCATTCGTTGAGGCGGACGTAAGCAACTCGATCCGTTCACCACGTCGGGAGAATGATATTTCTACAGCGAAGGCCCGCTGTGAACCATGACTCATGGTACATGAGCCTCGAAGCCACCGGCACGATTTGGGGACAGGATTGCTATGCCGCAAGAATTTTTTCTAGCCTCGACGGTAGATTGGAAGAAAATCACATCGATGGATTCGGCTCCGAGCATCGATGCGCATATTGTCCCAAACTCTGCGAAGGAAGGAGAGGATGGTCCTTGCAAAGGCGTGCAATCCCATGGTGCCGCCACGTGGCGGGACGGGGCGGCCTCCAGACGCCGCCCCCTCCGACTTGTACGTACCTGCGCTGTCCAGAGTCTCGGGTTATCATTTCTGCTTTTACAAGTCCCGACAAGAGTCGAAATATGAAGATCCTGTTGTCTCTCCGGAGTTGAAACTCTGACCGTCAGAACACGGAGTCGCACAAGTATATTATTCCCGGGTTTCTTTGATTTCTCCAATGTCGAGAGGAGCTGCGAGTATAGTTTTGCGGAAGAGCCTCAATGACATCTCTGAAAAAGCGGTCTCGATCGAGAGTATGGCGACACTCTTCAGACGCGAGGCTGCCATCGTTGACCGCAAATGAGCTCTTATCAACTTACCAGCCGTCAAGCGCGGCCCGAGGCCGCGATCACCGAGCACGGATAAAGAGAACGATCTCCGCTCTACAGAATCAAATCAGTGCCTTTCGAACCACAATAGAAGGACAGCGTACCTTAGTACCACATAGTACCACATGAGGTTCGTGGTCAAGAAGGAGAGTTTCTTGACAATCACTGGGCGGAGGGGTAGAAGATGATAAAGAGAACATCAGCTTGCACACCTAGGCATGATTCCGCAACTGCCGAAGCACATGTGCGCGGAAATTGGTGTGGAGAAAGAGCCGAAAAGTTGCTCACAGACGGAGCGCTTGCGCCCTATAGAATGAACGCTTTTTATTCTTAGGAGCTCCTCCCACAGCAAGTGACGCGTATCGCTGGGGTCCGGAAGATGCGGAGCTTGACCACTATATATGGCCACGAAGTTCCGAGCGCACACCTGTGAATGAGCAGTAGGAGCTCGAGAGGACCTTTCCTCCACTTATGAGCTTGGTCTTCGTCGTCGGCTGACGCAAGGGGAGTCCGACGCCGTATTCTTCGAAACACGGAGAGTTCCTACACGATGTATTCTGAATGTTCCTGTAGAGTACAAATAGAGTCAGTATTCAGGAGGTTCCGCGGGATCATGAATTTTAATTTCTCGGCGCTCGAAAAGGATCTGAGCAAACGGCGACTTCACTCCTTGGGTTATCCTGCCGATTGAACCATACGCGTCTCGTCGGCGTGATATCTCATGCCCATTGGATATCGGAGCGTCGCTCGCGAGAGCCGGTTTGCTCGAAGGCTTCTCGAGCCCTCCGCGAATTTTTCCCGCAGTTGTCAGAGCTCCGTCGACGAGCTTCCTCAATCGGCGTTCCCATCATATCGTTCCGTGAAAAAAAGCTAGGTTGAAACTGCTCTCTTTCCTCAGGATATTGCCCGTCTTGACTCTCTAGAGACCGAGAATTTTAGTACTCCAGTACTCGTGTCGGTGTGTGGTTGAACCTCGAAATTGCCGCCCTATAGAAAGTGCCGCCCGGGGCGGACCGCTCCCCTGCACGCCACTAGGTCCTCGCACTGGATCGGTTGAGAGAGCTGAATGAACGAATCTCGTACCTGATTCGTTGGTACAACATTCCGTCGAAGTCCGTCACAATAATTCTCTCGGACCTCGGAAGTCCGGCGAACGCTCTTCCGCTCCCGAATTTCAAGTCGTGTCGTGAATTCGGTATGGGTCACTGTAGCAGGAAGACCGGACGGAATGAGGGGGGTATTGCGTTTCAATTTTCGAGTCCCAGTGGAGAGCTGCACGCTGAAGTCATCCGAACGTCCTAAGAAATTCACGACCCTCGGGTCCAGCGCAGTTAGCTGGCTCACTC